TTCACTTTGAAAAATTTCATTTTTTTTAATGCTTCACTATTTTTTCAATATCAATCAAAATTTTTAAACGAGTATAACCATTTTAATTTCCATATTTTATAATATTTCAGTAAATTTAAAATTGACTGCATGAACATGCAAATTAATGAACATGGATATTACTTTTAACTTTTCAAAATTTCCTTTATTCATATTTCAAGACTACAAGTATAATTTGTTAGTTGATAAGAATTACAATGTTCCCATTTTTATAGCTAAAAAAATTTTACACTTTTGGTTTATAATGTTATAATTTGAATAAATTTACGTTTTTGTTATATTATGTTCTTGAATTTACTTGTGATTAAAAATTTCAGGAAAATCTCATTAATGAACATCGATATTATAAATAATTTTTCGACCTTATGAACTTAATAGAACACAGCCTTTGAGAAAGTTAGACTACCTTTCACCACATACCGACCGTCGTGGAACTATTGACGCGTCTCCGAGATTTGAAAGGCACAGTATATTTTTTTTTTTATTTATTTATTTACTTCTGGATATAAATTCTATAGAGGTGCATGACACCTGTGCATAGAAACCAGAAAAAAAAAATACAAAATAAAAAAAAAAATTTTCATACATTTTACAAATCATAATACATTTACAGAAATGAAAAGCACAAAATTTCAAATGTCATAACACGAACAAATTAATATTCAATAAATCTAAGGTATAGAAAAACCATAAGTTACTAACAATTCAGATTTCTAATAAATTGGCCAATTTTTTTTCTTAGTACTTTTTTAGATACATTCAGTGTTTATAACTCATTTGGGAGTTTATTATAATATTTAATTGCTACATAGTAAGCATTTGTGGTGTTAATAGTCTTCTTCACTTTAGGTAAGATTAACTGTCTATTACGAGTATTAAGTATTCTTTCAGAGTACAGTATTTTACAATTATTGTAATAGTATAAAAGAGCATTAACAACAAAAGTATCTTTTATTTTTAAAGGTATCGACGACTCATTTTTTATTTTGATTTTAGCGATTAGTTTATTTTGAATTTCTATAATTTTTCTAAATCATACACGACCTATCTTATTTCAACAATCAAAAATTTATGAAATGGTAAATTGTAGTTTTATTAAAATTTATTTCAAATTTATTTTAAGAATATTCAGAAAAAATATGGAGTGTAGGATAGTTAAAAAATAGACATTTTCTACTTTCACATCAAGGGTCAATGTCAATTAACATTTTCCTGCAAATTTATAGCATTATTTTAGGTGCTAACAATGCTTTCACAATAATTACAAATGAAAAAATTTTTCACTTATTGAAAAGAAAATTCATAAGTCGCAAAGTGACAAGAAGTACTTATCCGCTAATTTTGAGCATATTATGATTTTGATAAACAGAATAATTGAAAAAATAAGAACAATAAGGTAATAAGTGAACCAAATAAAAATACATCAGCACTTAATACATTTTTTTTAAACCCAAATTAAACAAGTCCTTAATATATATATATATATATAACTCTATCTATATAATATAAAATAATGATAATAATAATATAATGATATATCTTTGGAAGAGCCAGACCCAGAGTGAGTCAGACGGGTTTACTTGGGAGTGGGCTAAAGAAATTCAATCGAGCACTGCACAAAATAAACGACTCCCAGATTATCCCCCTTATCTATCAACTCCTACACCAGCTTCGTATCTCGTCTTACAGATGCCTCTAGATATTTTAGTTCATAGAACGTAGAGACAACCACAATCACCATGATTTATCATGAGAAATTTATTAAATTCAATTCTATTCACTCTTTAAATTTACACATCCACATGAAAAAAATTATAAAAATTGTTATCTGGCAAGACTTTTTTTTTGTGCATTACTGAATCACGTAATTCTCAAAAATTCAAAAATTTCTTCTTTTACCAAACAATATTACAAAATTTTGCCAAGTTTGCTTTGAAAGCAAACAGACTATAAGACTTTTTAAAAATAAAGTAAAGACGAACTTTTCCGTCCACATTTAACGCATAAAAACAATTCAATAGAAAAAAACTCGATCGAATTTTCTTTCCTCGTTCTTTCTCGTAAAAATAAAATGAGTTTAGCAACGCGAATTCGAGCAATACAAACGAAATAAAATAAAAATAACCGAATTTACTGGAGTAACGAGCACTCCTAATTCAAAAGTAGATTTCAAGTGGCGCCAATTTATTTTGCCCTTCTAAATTCAGGCCTGATCATACATGAACAGGCCTGATCAGGTCCAATTTCAGGCCTGATCAGATATGAACAGGTCTGATCACATCTGATTATTTTTTCCCGGGCACACTGTATATCTGTATATACATTAGGGTGCTTCATTTTTAGGCGATATTTTTTTTTCTCTGTGCTACCTGAAAATCTGATACTTTATAAAAAATAAAAAATTATGCCGCCGAGTAAAAGGCTTTAAGTGCAATAGCGGCTTAGCTCATTTAAAAATTCAATTTCCTATTTAAATAACATAGAAAAAATTTTTTTTCCGGTTTCAACTTGATTTTTCGACGTGAAAAAAATTTTTTTGGAAAAAACGCGTGCATAGCTTTTGTAGAGCATAAAATTTGCAACAAAAAGTTCCTCTGTGTAAATCCCCCCCCCCCCCCCGACCAACAGCTTTTGAGTTATACAGTTGCGAAGATGAATGTTTATTATATTTCACATCAAATCATTTCTAAATCAAGATTTATTATTACAGTGTGCGCAATTAGGTCAGCGATGTTCATGAATTTACTTTTCTATTTTTCCCAAAAGAAATAAAATTTTCGAACTGGAACAACAGTTTTAATTTACAATCATTAAAATACTTCATTTAACTGTGGATTCATTAACGTTGATCACTATGACTGTTTTCTGGGCTATAATTGCTAGATTTAATACTTGGCCCGCGAAAACTTTGGGCTACCTTTCGCCACCTATCAGCCGTCGCGAAACTATGTACCTATCTATATTTATAAACGATCTACTTTATATCTACGATCACGTGTGAACGTCAACGAAGCATTGATATTTATTTACGATGAATCATAATAATTATTATTATTAATGATATATTGAGTTGAATAGAATTTTTAACGAACTTGGAAATTACTTACAATTTATAGACATTTAGAACTGAAACTTAGTATCCGATTCGTTAAAACCATAAATGACATTCTGATGACATACCTCGAAAATCACTTAAGTCACTTATAACCCTCATAAAATCAGAATAAAAATTCTCATGAAATGATAAAACAAGAAATTAAACTTATTTCATTAGCTTTAACGGCCTCTGCATGGAAATACGTTTGGCCTTTTCAATTAAAAAGTTACTCGCGAAAAAAACCTTGAAAGTTCTTTTTTTTTTTTTCAATTCTCAATGAGTACTCTCTTTTTAACAAATTGATAGAGAAAGCGAGCACCTGAGAATAAGCGAACAAATTATATTATTTTTTCCGTATCATATCAGTCACCAATAGCAAGAAAAATAATTATTCTCCGCTGCAAATCGACAAAAGTAATCAGATCTAAATAAAAATAAGTAAACAAGACATTGTTGAGATATTTAAATAGGTTTCGAAATACGGATGACATTTTTAAAAATCTTAAGCTTTGAGTGCAATAGTTAATTAATAAATTAAATGACTTATTATTAAGAAAAAATTGGGTTTTCTTTTAATCAAGAAATTGTATTCTTATTATTTACTTTTTTCTGGTATTCAAAGTTTCCGTAATTAATATATTCCGTCTTTTAATTATCATTTCCCTCAATCTCTTAGTAAAATAAACGACAGAAGTAGAACATAAAAAATTAATTATTTCTTCAGTAACCGAACAGAATTTTTTTTGAGTTAAAATGTTCTTACACATTAAAATTTCGACTCCATCGTTCGGAACTTTATTGTTAGTCTAATATTTGTACATCACATCTAGAGTGCCCAACTATTGATCGAGTTACCCTACTTGAGAGAAAAAGAAGAGTTGTTTCGTTATTGAAAAGAAATTTTCAAATTAATTTATTGTTCGCTGGGTCGAATAATTCTGTTTATGCTACATTTGCGGTAAATGTAAACATTTTATGTTCGATGTAGATCAAAATTTATTTTTTTTCTTAAACCAAATGGAAAATTCCGGAGATAGCCAATGCCAGATTTTTGAGAGCTGATAGGAAAAAAAAAATGACGGTCATCTCACATATTTTCATCTCTTCATTTTTATAAGCAAACAATTTTGAAGTAGAAATTTGATGATTTTTTTTTAATTTTCTAATTAAATGCGTCACAAAGTCATAAATAATCATTAAATCATGATATTTATCATTTAATTCAAATTTTTTGAAATAAATCATTTTTATCGAAAAAATATTTCAAGGATAATTTAGAGTTTTTTTCAGTTCTATCCAATACAGAAAAAGAAAAACAGTTAAATTTTTTCAATTTATAATAAAATCTTTAATGGTAAAGTATCCTGAGATTGAAATTGGGAAAATTACAGTTTAACAATAGATTTTCCACACACTCTTATAAGAACATTTTTTAATTGTAACATAATTATTTGAATTATAATTTTCATGAAATACAATATTTAACACTGATTTTTCGAATTTAAAAATATATTATTTAGAGTTTGAAAAATTTTATTTTGAAATCGTTATTGTTTCAATTTGTTACTTAAAACGCCTAACTAATAAAATTTTTACTGTAAACCGAACTCATTCTGCTAATATTTTTTCTATAAACATTTCGAACACTTAAAAAATGTTTCCAATAAATGCGTGTCTCATACGTTGAATTTTTGACAAAAATTTTTTTCAATCCTTTTCAACTATTCGGCTCTCTTTTTAACTTTGAAAATAGTAACCACGAAAAATTTCTAAATAAAATTAATCTCGCCGAAAAATTTTATTTTAAGAAGAATGTAAGAAAATTCCAACATGAACCTCAACCATTATCGATAAATAATAAAATCTAAAAAAAACTGACCTTGCACTTGGGATACTCCTCCTCAGGTGTGGGTCTTTTCCACCCCAAAAGCGGCGGGATGCAAATAAGCGCGGACATGAGCCAAACAAGTGTGATCATGAGAGCGGCTCGAGCAGGTGTCCGCTTCTTGAGGTACTCCACAGCCTGCGTAATGCTCCAATATCTATCTAAGCTTATCAAACACAAGTTCATGATACTCGCGGTGCAAAGCAGTACGTCCATAGCGGAGTAAATATCACACCACCAGTACCCGAAAATCCAGTAGCCCATGATTTCGTTGGCGAGGGAGAAGGGCATGATCAGAAGCCCGAGAAAAAAGTCAGCTACCGCCAGACTGGCGATGAACCAGTTCTGGATGTTCTTAAGCGCCTTTTCAGTAGCTATCGCTATTATCACGAGCATGTTGCCGACGACGACAATAATCATGAGTATCGTCGCAGCGATCGATGCAAATATTATTTGTATGAGGCTGTAGCCCGAGGGGTACAGACCTTCAACATAAGTTTCGTTGTTATCACTGGCATTACCGGTATTGTTATAACTACCCACCAAAATCCTGTCGAATTCCCCGTAACTGTTATTGAAGTAACTACCATTAAGCTCGTCCATCGTTATGAAATCCTCCTCGGAGCTGAACAGCAAACCAGTGTCCCGAAACTCCCCTTCAAAATCAGTTATCCTCTCTTCATCAGCATCACGATCGACCGACTCGTCTCCAGAAGCGTAGCCTTCGTCCTCTTCCTCCTCTTCAAGTCTCGTATCTTTCGATTTCGATAAGCACTTTTCACAACTGCTCAAACCAGTCTGCTTGATTGGACCACCAGTTTGCCCTCGAACCTGATCATTGTCTCCAACTGGAAGTGTGACCCTGTCGCTGGTCAAGCTGGCTGTTGAACTGCTCGAGTAGTCAATCGTTGATGAACTGCCGTTGCTGGAGGTTGTCGACTCTATGTTGTAACCATACGAATTGTTGTTGTAATTCATGTTCTCGAAGATGCTCGTCGACGCCAGACTAACTCCGCTGATGACGTTAATCACCGCGCCCTCGTAGCCCGGCATGACTTGCACCTTCGACCCAAGCTTTTGCTATCGCGTCCACCTTATCAGAGACCCACTTGTTGTTCCTTCCCCGGAAGCTGAGCCCCCCTCTGGTGAATAAGGAGGAGCCGAACTGGAAGATTGCTGAGGCGCTGGACAAGCTGTTGGCAGTAGCAGAAACATCAGTGTGATGATCCAACCCAGCTCTGTTCTTCCGGAATTCCTCTGATTTATTATGACTGGTTTTGGTGGCTGTGTTGGTTGGTACCTCTGGTAGCATCTCAGGGAGGCCAGGGCCAACATGCCCGATTCAAGAAAGCCTCATCGCCCAAATTTATTATCCTGTTATTATTTATTAGCACAAAATAAAAGTTTTCACGTTGGACGGTCTCGCTTCTTCAGCTATCATTTATTGCTCATCTTATGCTTGTGCGTCTCACGGCCAAATATATTTATATGCTCTGATATAATTGATTATTACTTCAGTATTTACACTTAATGGTAATGATTACGTTAATTAATGTTAATCTAATCTTATGAATTATAATTTAGTTAGCTTGAGCTACTAAGCCAAAATATAATAAATAGCGTGCGATTAAATTGGTCCCCAAGCGCGGTCTTACCTCGATCGAAATAAAGACGGGCTTTGAGGATTTGCAAAGAGGACTGAGACTTTATTCAATATATTGACAATAAAAATGTCTTAATCCCTCAATCTAATCAGCGTACACTTATAATATCTTCCTTTTAACTTTTATGTAATCAATTTTTTATTTTTTTTTTCGGTAAATTTTTTTTTAATTGTAAATAAATATTATTAATAATTGAGTGCCGTGCTAATTACCGATGATAACGTTATTATCAATGGCTTAAGAAGGCTATTTCACCCGTACTGCTCCGACCTGTTTTAGGTTTAACCCTATCTTAAGATTACATTAACAAATTACCCTAAAGATTAACTATCAATATGTAACATTAAAATCAGACTCCACGAAGGAGGAACTCCTAAGCCTGCTCTCGTGAACCCTATAACTACTCCTAACTACGAAAACACCTTAAAAAATATCAAGGAATGGGTCACTTTTGGACAACTAATACAATTAGATTAAATTACTGTGAATGATCTAAACTGTACACTGTATTTACACGACTGTTAGTCGACGAACGATTGTCGATCACTGGACAAACTTTTTGACTAGCGATGGCCGAATATAAGTGACTAGATATAGATATACATATGTTCCTGTAACTTTAGTGGTTCGTCGTCGTCGCCGTCGACGGGGTCGTAAGTCTCGAAGTTGCGACAATAGGAGCAGCTGATTAGCTAGTGATTTTTCGTGGTGCTACCTCTTGAAACGGCGGGACTCACGTCTGATACGAGTCAGTACTTCAGTTTCGAGCATCGCACGACGACGACGAGAGAACGTACTGTCCTCTTTATTTTTTATAATTGTCAACGACAACTTTGTCGGGCGTTATCGATGCACTTTGCTTATTGGGAATCGATTGATGGTTATAGAATGGTTAATTTTTATCACTTGCGTGCGTTCAGTCGCGTGTCAAGGGTGCACTCAACTCGCATCGTCTCACTTAGAGTTTATCAAAATTAAATTCACTTCTAATTCACTGTTTGCTGTTCAATATTGGGTTAATGTTAGCATTCGAGGAGTTTTAATTTAAATCAGTTAATTATTTTTTAAATTCTTGCACTTAACTGAGGGATCAACGTCCGAAAAAGGAAACGAAAAAAATAAATTTTACACTGTTTTTTAGTTAATCAACAGAGCTTGGTCTTGTTGACTGAAAATATTTAAAGAGAACCGCCTAAAGACTTAACTGATAAATCGAGGATCGGAGGTAATAAAAGCACAAGTCTTACTGAAGAGCTTTGGCTGACTGGAGGCGTCGAGATTCGCGCGAGTCCTCGGCGTGCGAGCGACCAACAACCGAGGCAGGAGCGCCGACAACCAATAAGAGTTTTCATCGCGCAAGCTCAACGTGGACAGGAATGGGGATGGGGAAAATTCAGAATGGGGATGGAATATAGTGGAAAGGGATGGAGATTCTGGACAAAAAGGAAGAAAAGTGCGTGTGTGGTGAGGACAGTCGACTTTTGGGCACCTCTGCAAAGGGTTTGGTTTAACGAGTTTTAACTGGGGTACCAGGGTATTATGGTAATGAGAAAATAATTGCTCTGATGCGTGAGAGTTTTTTCGGTTTTGTTGGTCGTGTTGGGGATTTGTTGTTGATGGCTTTTGGGAAATTTTACAAAGGGGATTTTTTATTAGGGAATGGTAATTAGTAATTATATATGAAAATGATTGGAAAAAAGGGTGGAGTTAATTTAAAACAGAATTTCCGTAGAATAATGATTGATTGTTGATAAATGACGCAGTTTTTAGGATAGAGACATGAATATTTTTAAATTCAACAAATCTTTAATTACTTATTAGTTTCATGGTCATCTAGTTTTTTAGACAAAAATCATAGAATTATCATATTATTATTATTATTTTTTTCTAATTATTTATTTCTGTCTTATTTATACATTAAAATATCGACGGTGAATTTTCATTCCCATCATTTACAGTACCGGAGTGAAGAAATAAAACACTTCACGTACAGAGTAAAACTAAAGTTTTTTTTCAGCTACATAATTACTGAGTAAATATGGATTATAATCCAAAAAACATCCAAGTACAGAATTTTTTTATTTAGCTAAACATATCCTGAATAATTATCAAATGCTTCATACAATTTATATCAAATTCAGATTTGTAAATATTAATTATATTTTTTTTTAATTCAACTTTCATAGATTACTAAATCAAATTTTCATAGATATTATTTTTTCAAGTCATGTTGACAAATTCTAAGGTAAAAAGTAAAAAATATTGAATTATAAACATTTACTACGTTCAACTAAATAAAAATAATAACTTGAATGGTTCTTATTATAGTTTATCTGAATACCTACTTTTCCAATTTATCTCTTATTACATTTTGAAATCAAAAAGACAAAGGTTTCGAATTCACGTAATTTGAATTCAATTTCCAAAGCACTGAATCACAGAAAAAAAAAGTGTGTGTATACTAATGGTACGCACGTAAGAAGTTATTTATACTTCTTCTTGGCCTAACAATATAAAAACCTTTCTAAATATTTTATCTATCGCCTTATCTTACGTTTGTAAAAAAAACGACACTAATAATAGAAAAAAAGTATTTAATACATTGAACGTTTTATTATAACGCATTATCTAGTTAAATAAAGTTCATTCAATTATCATAAAAAAATTATTTCTACATAATTATAGAAATTTGGAAATCGGTTGACCGCGCAGGCCAACCCTAGAACTTCCTGCCAAGCTTGTATTTGAAGGACCTTAAAATGTGCTTTTTGATTAATATTTGAGCTTTTCAAGCTCAAAACACAGTTTTTCACATTTTGAGCGATTCGAGCTGAAAATGTATTTATTAATCAACGATAACTTCTGAATGTGTCGTTCGATTTTCATTTTTAAAAAAGCATTCGACGCAGTTTTTAAAGCACAAAAAGAAAATGTACAGGTTTATATAGATTGGTTGAGAAATCTCGAAGATATCATAAAAAAAATACTGAAAAACAAAATTTTATGAATTTTTATAGAACTATAACTTTTGAATGCGTCATTCGATTTTCATTTTCAAAAAAGCATTCGACACAGTTTTTTAAGAACAAAAAATGTATATATAGTTTTGTTATGATTTTTTCGCACGCTTTGGAGTTATTTTTAAAAAACAAAAATTCAAATCTTTTTTTGAATTTCTTCAGAATGGCTTGATGAATTAACCCTCAAATCTGATCAGATCTACATTTTGATAGACCCTTCCGAAAGATGTGTCGTAGAATTCAATCGGTTGATTCGTTTTTGAGAAATCATACGACAAAAATTTATTTATACACACACACACACGCGCGCGCGCACGGAAATCTTGGTGGGAATAGTCAGAATGGCTTCTTGGGACCTCAAAACGTGGACATCCGATGAAAACTCGACTTTTGAAAATCGGACCGAAATCAATAACTTCCCATTATTGGAAAATTTTCAATTTTCTTAGTGGGAAACTAAAAATATATTTTTACATGAAATATCGTGAATACAGTTTCCAGTTCTCACGCAAACATACGTAAATGTACTTACTTTTATTTTATTGATAACTTTTTTTAAAAAACTAAAATGTTGAGTAGCTAACTTCAAGGTGTCGGTTTTTCGTGACGGTGTGCGCGCGCATCGTAAAAATTTACCTTCATCATTTTTGCCAAACGCGCCAAAAGAAGTATAACTTCAAAAATAATAAAATAAAAATCCTGAACGCCGTAGTAATCAGAACTGCGAACGTGATGCTTCTATAAAACGTAGATCTGAAATATTGGTGTCCCATTGCATACCTCGAGTGGTCTACAGCTATGTAGTGTCGGATGGAGAATGGACCAGCTAGCGTCAGGAGTAGAGAGTCAAAAGAGTAGAGAGTAGAGAGTAAGTGTGGAAGTAGATAGTCAGTACCAAGTACCAAGTACCAAGTACGAAGGACCGAGTACATCGACTAGAGCAGAGAGGATAGACTAAAGTGTTGTTCAAGTATCGAGGCATTACCTCTAGGCTCTAGACTGTGCTTTACTCTAGGTCATGCCGATACAGCGATGTCGTCAGCTTCTATACAATACTTGCACATACACACACTAATATGTAGTTACGAGGACGCTCATCTTTTGTCTCTCGTCGCGATATTAGAAATAATTCGAGTTTAAATATTTTAAATAGTCTCAGCGTGCCAAATATTTTACAACTTAGATAGTTAAATAACTTGTTTTCAAATCAACTGTTCTAAAGAGAATTTTTCAAAAAAAATATCAAGAAATGTTTATTCTTAGTATAATTAGAATTGGAAAAATTTTCGTTTGTAGAACATAAAATAATGAATATTATAATATATTAATAACTAAACGGAAAAAAATAATCGGTAGAGGCTACCGATTT